TCATAAATTTCTGTAATTACTGAAACTGAATTCCATTTCTTTTGTTGCAGGTGGCGTTGTCAGAGGGTTAAAAAGACATCAGAGAATGGCAGGACTTACCTGTAACATGGACAAAATTAAAGAAAGAGAAGAAATTAATTAAAAAAAACAAAAACACGACTTACCAGTTGCCTAGTGGACCCTGGAAATACAATAAGGGACACAAAAGCTCTGTGAATGCATTACTCTTGCAATGTTGGGTTTCTCCAACCAAAGATATACAAGTGCCTGTATCTGTGGTGTAAATATTTCTAGGAACTCTTTGGTTTTGTTTTTTTCCCTTTTTGTTATTTCTTTTGATTTTTGCCTGAGCCCCCCAGTGCCATGTCCAAACATGCAGTACAGAAACAAAGCAGAAGGCCACATCCAAGAGCTACTTCTTTTTTCTGGTGGTGATTAGGTCTCACCTTATCAAGCATGATAGACAGAAGTGTTTTATCAGAGTGGTAAATGTTTAGATATCTTAAGGTCAAAGTGGTTTTGTCGCCCTGATAACAAAGCGTGATGTTTAATCACTTGGAACATGTTTAAGGAAACAGAAAAGCAGGTAAATAATGATTAAATCCTCAGTGTGCGCTCACCATAGCAGCTTAAGCGAGGAATGGAATAAAGGAGTACTTTTCTCTGCACCAAATTTGATGGTTTAATTAAAATTCTAGTTAGAATCAGGTTCTTTAAAGTCCATTTAGTGACATTTAAGTGATTTAAGAATTTCCCATCTTCCTTTTACGAACTGCTTTTGATTAGCAGTTAAAGAATTACCAGAACTTCCTGTTGTTGAAATTTGTCACATATTCTTTTCTTCTTCTTCTTCTTTTTTGGCCTTATGCTTTCCTCTGTCAGTTGCTTCTTCACTCACCTGCCTCTTGAATTTAATTTGCTGCCAGTCGCTGTGCAGCAGTTTTGATGTTTGATCCAGTCCTCTCTGTCGCACCCAGGAGATACAGAACATTTGATCTTGCCTTACCTACGGTGGACTTGCTTGCTTGAAAATAGGCGTGGGTCATCACTTTTGTCCCTTTCCCCACATTAACTCTCCGCCCCTTTCTTCCACAGCCAAATATCACATTTTATTTGTTCTGGTATGATGAGCCTGTGGTTTGAAATCAAGCTTGTGCTCTTTGTCCTGTTATTGTAAATGTCGGGTGACCCTTGAGTTACTTTATATTAGACACTTTAGTTACTTCACCTTTTTTGAAATGATAAATTATATGAGTTGCACATGTTAAAGTGTTTTCATAGATAGTGCACCTTTGGATGTCTTGCACATTTTGTTATTATCTCCTGTGATTATTTCTTTTTATGTAAATAAACTAATTGGCCTCCATGTAAAAAAAATAAATATGATTATTATGCTGCTGCTCAGACGTTTACAATAACCATCCTTGTTTGTTTTAAAGAAAAGTTTTCATCTAATATAATGTGAAATGTTAAAAAATACTGTAAATCATTTAGTGAATCCTTTGGTTATTAATAACTTGTCATTTTTAAAACATCTATGTAGGTGTTCAGAGGCCCAATTTCAGCAACCATTACTCCTGTGCTCTTGGGACTCCATATATTAGCAAATGCAAGTTTATCATGGTAAAAGTTTGATGTCATCAGTCTAGTTTGACGGTGGACTGTTTCCATTTTCAGTTTGCATCACACTGTTCGGTTTCACTGCCATTTGGCAGTTAGTTGGAAAGTGTTTACAGACATGTTGTTGTTCTCCATGCAAACTACAGGCAATTATTTGACTCTGCTTGCAACCAGTAATAGCAAGGTGGTTTTTGGTGTTGCACTGTATACCTTGGTGCAGTTTCACCTAATGACAGGCAGCCTCAGGCAATCGTTTGCTAACCAATAAAGGAATACACGTTTTTCTCAGTGGTTAGCCAGTGGTTAACGAAGGTTGCTGACCCCTCTTTCATACGACGGTGTGCACTACTCCCCCTAGAGGACAACTTAAAATGCCTCCAAGCAGAAGAGAAAGAAGTAGGAGGAGTTGGTCCACCGCTGAGTGCATCAGAGTTTGAGAAACGCTGAAGTGGCAGTTTCATTAAATGTGTTTTTGTAAGAGCGAGGTGCTTCTGGTCTCTGAAGGGAGTAGTAAACACCAACGTTCTTCCTGTTCTTAAAACAGGAAACACTGAGTTTCACAATAAAATTGTGTTTTTTAAGGAGGCATCCAAAGCACTCTAGTAGCCAAGTGTGTTGTTTCTTTAATGATAATACTGGTTTTTGGATGTAATGTATAACAAACAATTTGTGTTTTACCAGAATATACTTTCATTTGAGGATACATTATACCATCAGAACAGAGGGACTATTGCAACATTTCTCACTATTAAGAACTGTAGCGAATACGAATGTACTTTTCTTTCAAAAAACAAGGACAAACTTTTGAGCAGCAGTGGGAATACCATTATCATATTTATCCATTTATTATATATTAATTATTAAACTAACATTTGTATTATTTTGAATGACATGAAACTGTGCAAAGACTCATTTTGTGTGTGAATGCATGAGAGTTTTGGATGAAGAAGTGTAGCTGCAGACTGCAATTCTCTGAAATCTCTTTTCTGAGCGTCTGATTTTTGAAAAGGATTCCGTCGCAGAGACAAAACAAGCCACCTCCCCCCGACTTCCACCTGCAAAACTTTCAATCTGTTGCTGTTTGTTTGCGTTTCTCTCTGAGAGCAGCACAGCATATTAGATCTGCAAAAACAAAGAGACAGTGCTGTATGTCTGCTGGTTTGTTGCATTGGTCTGTGTCCAGAGATTTGAGTAAAAACCTTCCTACAGTCTTAACAGAAGTAAAGATTGCCTGTTTGTAATTACGTATTTTGTTTCCTTTTCAATAGCAATTACCGATACATTTAACTTACCTCTGCTATATTTTTGCTCCATAATTGATGTACCTGTTGAATGTACTGTTTTTATAAGCAGCGTAATCTAAATCTGAGATGCAAGAATTCCAAGTGATTCAAAATATGTTATATAAATATATAATTTTTTTTTTCAGTTTGGGAGGCTTTACTTGAATTGTGTTGTTTGTTTTGATTGGTTTCCATAGTGTAAGGTTTTCCCGTCATGTTGTTGTATGAAACGCTGTACTTAACATTTGCGTTTTTCGTGTGTATGTCAGTGAATGACTGGTTTTGGTTGTAATGGTTACGATACCCCTCCCCCAAACATACACACAGAAAATGATGCTAGAAAAAGTCTTCCTAATTCTATTGTTCAGATGATGAGCATGGATCTGTTGCGTTCTCTCATCCATCTATTGTGCTCCCACCTGTTTTTGTTTTCTTCTTTTGGAAGATCTGGCAGCTCTTATTGGTCTGTTTGGGTATGGATGGGTAGCCGGGATCGATTTAAAGGAACTTGAAGTTGTGAATGAAGCTGTCTTAACACGTATCACTTGCATTTACCTGCTTCATATCCTTTTCTCTGCGATTTTCACCCCCCTCCCTTGGGTTAAATTTGCATCTCTGACTGCAAAAAATGCCTTAACATTGTCTTTGCTTCATCTATCACATATTGTAAATTGCACAGGAAAAACTAAAGCAAATCTTAACTATTGTGAAGTGTACATTTAAAGGATTTTAAAGGAGCAGATGCTTGCTGTTGTAGTTTTCAAATTACTCCACTATATCACTAATGACGTGAAAACAGTTGCGCCATATTCACCTTCAGTTGCACCATGTCGCTGTGTATGGAGGACTGAAACTGCCAAAAAAAACACAAAGCTCAGTGAAAGAAGGTCTTAGTCATGCAGTTTGCTGAGAAATAAAACAAGGAAATTTGAGATGAAATTGGTTGCAAAGACTTACGGTGCTGCATTACAAACCTTGCGATTGCTTTGCACCCTAATAGATTGCCACAGTTGCCCATATCTTAGAGGGAAGATGCAAACTTGCCACCTTACTGCCGGGTTTCTTACCAACCACAACAGGTTGCAGCGGTGAGGCAACTAAAGCAATTAAAAGGTTTTCAGTGGAGTTTGCAATCAATTGTACCTCCTGGTTGCCAGCAACCACTTGCCAACCAGTCAGGGAATGCAAATTTTTCCCTAGCGACTGGACGGTTGACATGGCTTTGTCACATCTAGATGCCGCCTGATTGGAGGGAGCTGTTTGTGCAAAAAGTTTACCTAGTAACACGCACTGTATGACTCCTTCAGATGTATATTAAAGCAAAAAATGGCTAAAAATAAAATAAAAAAGTAAATTATGAAACAGGTGGCAAATGAAAAATACAAATAATATAAAAGAAAAAGCAAAAAAAGAGTGAAATTAATTCAAAGAATACAAAATAACAGCAAAATTTAATTTAACTAAACGGCGCCTTCATTAATTTTAATTTGTTTCATCTGTGCTGTTGGCAGTTTCAAGCTACCATACCAGTGTTTTGTGTTTTTTGCTATAACATGACTCCAATAAAAGGTGCCCTTCCTCCTCTCTGTCATCCTTTTTGTCATGTTAGCAGCGCTTACAGGCAAATATTAAGCCAACTCTGTGCCTTCTGCACTGTCGAGCTGCATCCTCCTCCCTGTACATACAGTAGATAGGACCATAGGTTTTAATGTGGCTAGGATGTCATTCAGACCCTTTTCCTCCCCAGTGGAACTGCTGTAAATGAATTCAAGTTTAAATAAACTGTCTCTGAAGTTCAACCGCTCTTCGTCTCTGACTCTCCCTTTATCCCCAACACCACAGCATTTATTAATTTAGATTAGGGAGATTAATGATCTGCCAGGGAAAAGAAACTAATTTGGCTCTACCTAAAATAAGAGGTCAGAGAAATATTAAGATCTGTAAGCTCTAGCTCTCTCTGCATGAAATAAGGATTGTACTGGTGATGTTAACGTATTTCCATGGCGTCATGTGAGTACGCTGTAGTCAAGACACTTTAGCATTACGATAAAGTACATGGCATCAGTTTTTCCAGGTTCTTCACATTATCTGTGTGACTTAAAGGGCAGATGGCAGCGAGGCAGAATTACCAAGTAGGGCCTGACCGCTGGAGATGAAGAAATGCCAAACTAGCCCTCGAGACCCAAATTGCCAAGCAATCCCCTGAATGGACAACTCAGGATGAAGGTGAGGCTCCAAGAATATTTAAAGCAGAGCTGAAGTTCAGCCAATCATTTTGTTTTAATGGTTCATTCATGTAAAGCAGAGATGGGCAACTCCAGGCGTTGAGTGCCAATGTCCTGCAGGTTTTGGATGCAAAGCCACAGTTGGATGTAGAGGACTTTTACTCATGGAGGTAATATAAGTATTGTTCTGTGATGTACCAGTATAGATGTGCGTAGTCATCATGTATGTTCTCTTGGCTTCTCTGGTGACTAGGAAGTGCTATGTGATCTGGTATTGGTGTCATCCTAAGGGAAACTCCATTTACTTATTACCAGTTCACCAATGTTAACAGTGCATACAGAAAGTATTCAGTGCTTCTCTCTTCCATATTTTGTGATGTTATAGCCTTATTCCAAAATTGATTCAATTCATTTTCACTTCAGAAATCTACACAGAATATCCCATAATGATAAAGTAAATCTTGCAAATTCAGTTAATGCAGTTAAAAGGACTAGATGTTAAAATAAAAAAACAAAATATAACATCCAACACATAAGTATTCATAGCCTCTGATCACTATTTTGTTGAAGGACCTTTCCCAGATGTTAAAGCCTTTTTGTGTCTCCTGGCGTATGATCCTAGAGTATTGGCACACCTATTTTGGGGCAGTTTGTTCCTCTTTGCAGACACTTTCAAGCTCCATCAGGTCAGATGGGGTGCATGTATTCACAGCCATTTCCAGATCTCTCTAAAAATGTTCAGTTGTATTCAAGTCTGGGCTCTAACTGAGCCGTTCAAGGTAGTGATCCCCAGTCTGAGGTTAAGGCTGGAGCAGGTTATTATCAAAGATGTTTATGTGCATTCATCTTTCATTTCCTGTTGCCGATAAACATCCCCACAGCATGATACTGTGACCACCATGCTTCACTGTAACAATGATTTCGACCAAACGATGGGCACTGCCTGGTTTGCCCCAGACATGATGCTCGACATTCAGGCCAAAGAGTTCAATCTTTTGGATGGTCTGAGAACCCTCCTGGTGCCTCTTGGCAAACTCCAAGCAGGCTGTCATGTGCCTCTTACTGAGGAGTGGCTTCCATCTGTCCACTCTGTCATACAGGCCTAATTGGTCGAGTGCTGCAGAAATGGTTGTCCTTCTCTCCACAGAGAAATTATGAAGCTCTGTCAGAGTGATCATAGTCACCTCCCTGACTAACGCCCTTCTATGCCGTTTGCTCAGATTTGCCAGTTGGCCAGCTCTAAAAGAGTTCTGGTGGTTCCAAACAACTTCTATTTACACATGATGGAGGTCACCGTGCTCCTTTAGTGCTGCAGAAATACTTCTGTACCCTTTTCCATAAACCAACATCCATTGGACAGACACAATACAAACACTAACCTTTTGTCAGTGTACTCCTCAGTCATATGTTGGCCATGTAAACTGGAGCTGGTCATCAAAAGTGTATGATTGGATATTTTCTCTCTCTTTTCGGACCATTCTCTGTAAATCCTAGAGATGCTTGTGTGGGAAAATTGCAATAGATCAGCAGATTCTGAAATACTCAGACCAGCAGGCACCAACCATGCCACAAAGTCACTTAAATCAACAGTCCCCAACCCCCGGGCCTCGGACCGGTACTGGTCCGTGAGTCGTTTGGTGCCGGGCCGCGAGAGTTGAGGCTCAGGTGTGAAATGTATGGTTTTCAGGGTTTTTATTGGTTTTCAGCGTTATTTTGTTATCGTTTCTATCGTTTACTCGGTTTTCCTTGGTGTTTTCACGTGTGTTATGAATAAATTTTCTTTTTTTCGGTACCGGTACTAGTTTTATTTTGTTGTATTTATCCGCGACACCTTAAAGGCCGGTCCATGAAAATATTGTCGGGCATAAACCGGTCCGTGGCGCAAAAAAGGTTGGGGACCGCTGACTTAAATTACAGTTTCGTTTCTTTTTCAACTTCAGCAGATCTACTTGATCTTCTCTGCATGCCTACATGCATTTAGCTGCTACCGTGTGAATTGCAGAATGGATGTTTGCGCTATCGAGAAGTGGCCAGTGAGTTTATATTTAGTCTTTGTTAAGATCACAGAGCTGCTTGGAGCTGTGCGATGGTAAAATCTACAGTGTGTTCATCATCGGTACTCAGCCTGACCCTAAATCAAAGGACAAAGAAAAACAAAATAATTCTAACTGACAAAAAGTGTGACTGGAAAACATAGTGTTAAGTTTAGGATTCTTTCCCCTTTAAGTACCCACCACCTGCATTCATGTCACTTTTCCATCAGAATCAACTCTGAGACTGGCACAGTGTTTCAGCTTTCCATGCGCCTCTTTGCCTCATTTGCACTTATTTTTGCAGAAATTCAAACTTGCATTCAAAACCTGGACAGACAGAAGCTCATAAGTATTGGAGAACATTTGGCTCCATTGATTTCCTCCTGTCAGTAATATAATCAGAAACAGCAACACCGTGCTTACCCAGCTCCGGACAGTCTACCAGCAGGAACGACGCATAGTGCATAAGCCCAACATGCGTCAGTGCTGACAAAAGCTTATTCTTATTTTGTTGTACATAAACTATTTAAAGTGCATAAATGAGTCTTTTTATTACACTGGGTGATGTTCTGTCTTCACAAACAAACAACGGCATTGTGTTTATTTTGAGTCCTCATGCGCCATCCTGCTGTCGTAAGTGCTCAACAGAGCACAGTTTGTGTGGGCTTTGGTGTCATCCAGGGATTTTCAGACAATAAGAAAAAGAAAAAAAATGCCAGACTTGTGTTTAGAGGAAAGGATAAACACTTTATTTTTTAATTCAAGAAGGCAAGGCATCACATCCTGTCGATAAATGCAATTTATATGAAAAAATGGCAAATATGATTCATGCAGTATCAACCACAACACGGAAACTAATCTGTGCAAACAAGGAGGCACAGACTGTCCAGCAACAGAGATGTGATACATAAAAAACGTGTAATTGGATGAAATAACATGTAATTTTAGTCTAAAGCGGATGACTATAAATCAACCACTTAGCAATGCTGAGAAAACAGTATGTTTACAGCTGTTTATGGAGTGGGAGGAGGCAGAGAAAAGCTACACAGTCAAGAAAGACATTAAGAGGCGATTATTATCCATCATCTGTTTGTGAAGCTCAGTGCTTGTCATGAGGCTCTTAATGGGAATGAAAGTCAGTAAACAAGGAGTGATTAATGTTTTAAATTCACATCCTGTTACTTATTCTGATAAATTCCCACAAAATTAAGAGGGAAAGCCAAATGTCTGCACAGGAGCCAAAGGTGTAATGTGGCGAAACCTCCCTCCAAAGTGTGTTTCATCTATTATTAATAGTCATAACCTGAAACTCCAAAACACTGCCAGGCATAGAGCCAGAAGGTCTAAAGCACCAAGTCAGTTTTGATGCCAAGCGTTCCCACTCTGCTCTCATTCACGAGCACAGCAAAGAAGCAAATGAAGCCGGTTGGCTCGAAGCAAAGGAAATCTGGCATGTGTTGTATTTGCACACCTGTAGGAAAGAAAATTTCTGGGGAAAAACTAACAGAAAATCATTGCCGTCCTCCTTAGTACCACTCATCTTTTCATTTTTAGCTCATTATTTTAGTTTCCTGTCCTGAAACTTTGCTCACAAAACAGCAGGCAGCAGCTGTTTTCAGCAGAAAAGCTCAGATAAGAGTCGTGTACTACAACTAGACCGTGCAAGAAACCGTTTTGCAGGAAAGGAGATAAACTGTTTTTCTCAGGAGTTGCTGACGAGCAAAACAGAGGTCAAATGTGAGTGAATATCGGGTAGGCAGTAGAGTTGGCAAAAACACAACTCCAGATGAATAATGATTTAGCTCCATGTCTGCTGGATGAATAGGCAGCTGCATGAGGTCATAAAATCTCACCGTCATGTTTTCGGCTTGTTCTGCTGCCTTAAAGTTGCCAATAAAATGCATATTTAGATGCTACAGGAGACATTATTTTCTTACCTGCGCAAAATGGATAAATAATAATAAAATATCAGATGACTGAGGGCTCACAACCACACAGGAAGCAAGTGACGATAAAAATGTAACAAAAACAGAGCTCGGGTATTGTAATTATAATCAGATCAGGAGAGACAGCTGCAAGAAAAACAAAATAAAGAAATCATAAACCACCGTTCCTCTCGACATTTAATTCTGGTGTTTCATTTTGTGGCAAAAATGAGGATATTTACCAGTAATTTGTTATGATAAATAAAAAAACAGTACACCACATTTATAAGTCACCCATTTTTAACTAGAGATATAGCGATCAACTGGGCATGGGCAGCGTGGTCGACATGGAAACGGGCCAGTCAGCAAAGACGTAAAGTTAGCTAGTTGTGAATATTTTTGTGAATGAACTGAACAACAAGAAGTCTTAGCAGACTCATGTCACTTTCACCTAACTGAACACAGACATAAAGAACCTAACAAAGGCTCAGAGCCAGAAACATGCTAGCAGCCTCGGTATTAGCAATGCATCAAAGCAGTTACAAAACAAGAAAAAGAATAAAAAGAGTTGGTGTCTTCTTATTTGGGGAAGTTATAAACCAAATACCAGAAAATAACAGA